TTCTTTCTTTCTTTCTTTCTTTCTTTCTTTCTTTCTTTCTTCCTTCCTTCCTTCCTTCCTTCCTTCCTTCCTTCCTTTCTTTCTTTCTTTCTTCCTTTCTTTCAGACAACATTTTGCTCTATAGTCCAGGCTGGCCTCAAACTCATGATCCCCCTGCCTCAGCCTCCTACCTACTAGTATTATCAGCCTCAATTCAAGTTTTTGTGTTTTGTGTTCTTCATTCAGTGCCGAAGATGGAGCTCAGGGCCTCACACACACCAGGTAAGCATTCTACCACTAAGCTATATACCCAGCCCCCAATTGAAAGAAATCTGAATAGGAATAGCTTGGATTCGAACCCACATTTGTCTGCCATATAAAACCTGAGGCTTTCACATCATGCGCTTTAAATAATTACTAGCTTGTATTAATTATATAAAGCAATAGCCTTTGGGCCAATGGGATGGCTCAGCAGGCAGAGGCACTCACCGCTGAGTCTGATGACCGGAATTCCCTCCTTTTTGAGTGCTGGCTCCCCTGCTCTCTGCTCATAATGATTCCTGGTCCTTATAACTTTTGAAGTGAGTTTTGTGGGAGGTGGTATTCTGTTTGAGAGACGGGAGATTAACCTGGTTAATAAGTGATGCTATCATGCAGCCAGCCTGGCCTGCTGGGCTGCAGGTCTTTTATCTGGCACCATTCACTCATTTTTTTTTTTTTCCAATCCTTCCAGAGGGGACAAGCCAGCCACAGGAACAGCTGCTTAGCATTAAGGAAAAGAGGAAGGAGCCCCGTGAAGGACAGTTAGAAACCTGTTTTGTCACATCACCCAGGCATTCCCTCTTTTGCTTCCTGACCCCCTCTATCGGTGCACCCACGTTCCCACTGCCTCCCCTCCCAGGTCTTCCGTTCAGCTCATTGCCTCCTGTTCATGTTTGCCTGGCAAATTAGGTCACTATCCACATGGACGTTTTTGGTGCTTTACTCCAGGTCCTCAGGGCCTCCCATTCCCAGCCACCTTTTCTATGGGCCATGTGAAGAAGAGGCTCCCCAGCCCAGAAAGGCTGAATGATGACTCAGCCTGGCTGGGAGGGAGTGCCAGGCTTCTCTGGCCGGAGCTGCTGCCTTGCTGCTGGCTCCCAGGCCCTAGAGTTCTCTAGTGCCACGGACCTTCTAGCTCACTTCAGTACACACGTCAGGGGCAGCCATCTGCTTTGGGGCTGCCCTTCGTGTTGCCGAGGGCTTTTCCATTACGTCTGTTATTACTGCTGACCGTGCTAGTCCCAGGAGGTCTACAGCGACAGCAAACTTGACAGCTCACAGGAATGGGACCTGCCAGGGAAGGGAGAGGGGATCCAGGTCTTCTCTGGGCCCGCTGAACTTACCTAATCACATGTTTTCTGGAACTTCTCCAGGGCAGAATCATGCTGGCTTCCTGTGCCTCTCTGGATCATGGTACCATCCAGGGCCTTCACTCCTCCAAGACTGGTTTCTTGTCATTCAGATCTCAGCTTAATGTCCTTTTAAATAACTTCTCTGGCCACTTAGCGATAAAGCCACCAAGTTCCTCTCTAGCATTCCATGTGTCTTTTGTATATATGTTAAAAAATGGTGCTTTCCCTACTCTGGAAAGCAGTGAACTTATGGCAATTTAGAATTGTGGCTAATAGCATGTGTGGACAATGTCCTTCCTTCCTTCCTTCCTTCCTTCCTTCCTTCCTTCCTTCCTTCCTTCCTTCCTTCCTTCCTTCCTTCCTCCATTCCGCTCCACCCCTTCTTCTTTAAAAGCTTTAAAGAATGCATTTGTTTATTCATTTTCCGTATATTTGTGGGTACATGCATGTGTCATATGCTCCTTTGGAGGTCGGAGGTCAACTTTCAACATTCGGGAACCCGTTTTCTCTTTCTACGTCATGGAGCTAAGAGGTCGAGCAGATACTCTAAGAGGTCAAGCAGATACCCTAAGAGACTCTAAGAGGTCGAGCAGATAGCCTAAGAGGTCCTGCGGATACTCTAAGAGGTCGAGCGGATACTCTAAGAGGTCGAGCGGATACTCTAAGAGGTCGAGCAGATACTCTAAGAGGTTGTGCGGATACTCTAAGAGGCCGAGCGGATACTCTAAGAGGTCGTGCGGATTAAGAGGTCGAGCGGATACCCTAAGAGCCAGAGCGGATACCCTAAGAGCCCGAGCGGATACCCTAAGAGGTCCTGCGGATACCCTAAGAGGTCGTGCGGATACTCTAAGAGGTCGTGCGGATACCCTAAGAGGTCGTGCGGATACTCTAAGAGGTTGTGCGGATACTCTAAGAGGCCGAGCGGATACTCTTAGTCTTTTGGCAGCACTTTTAACCTCTGAGCCATCCTGCCGGTCCCCTCCTTTCATTTTGACACTGTCTTACTCTGTACCTGAAGCTGGCCTTGAACTTAGGGCAGTCTTCCTGCCTCCGCCTTCTGGGTGCTCTGATTATAGAGGTGACCTACCCTTCCAGGCTGTGGACACTTTCTGGGCAAGGCTAGTAATAAACACCCGGTGAGACTCCCTTGTTTCTGTTGTAGCCACTCAGCTTGGCCATTGTGCAGTATAATGCCACTGTGCCACATCTAATGAAAGTGAACCACGGTGGCCATGTTTCAGGAAAACTATTCATGAAATAGGCGGCAGACAGGCTCTAGCCCACAGGCTACAGCTTGCACACACCTGGTTCAGAGTCTTGGTTACTTTGGGATCCTAATACCAACGTTTGAGTCTTGCCTGCTTCTCCTTCCGAGAGTCCCCTTCTCTGGGCCTCCCTAGGTTTCCCCGGCTCACCTGTACATTGTAGATATTAATAGCATTTGTCTTGTGGATGACTGTCAGCATATGAACAGGTCTGGCTTCTTCTCATCTGGGGCCTGCACGGTTTCTGAATTCAGTATGGATAGCTATTAGAAATATGTTTGACTAAGCTATGACTGGGTGTCGGGCTCTGCAATGGGCTCTGGTGACATCTGAGTGATGAAATCTCCCAAATGCTCTGTTTCAGGGCCACGGTCAAAATAGTCTTTACAGCGTGGGTGAGAAATGTCGCATCCCATAGTCAGGTGACATCAATAAGGCAGGGAGGAAATGGTGGCAAATAAGAGCATGCCGAGGACCTGGGGCTCACCTGACTTCTGTCACACTAACCCTAACTCTGGAGCAATTACTTTAATGGCCACTGACTGATGGGGCAAGTGGCTGCTGGGCACACGTTTTGGTGACCTGGAGCTCGGTCTTCTTCAGAATGTCACCTTCAGCTCTTCTTCCAGCCTTGGGGATCGGTTTGTGCCACCTGCAGAGGGCTGATTCCAAATGAAGTCACAGAAAACGCTCATCTGACAGGACGCTGCTCCGTGTCTGTTTCCGAGGCACCTCGTCATATTCCTACCCGGCACTGTCTTCTGGAGCCCTGTGCCTGTTTTCTATAGCGTTGACATTAATGTGCCCGCAGCAGAGGGTCCTGGACCATAAGGTCCCTTCTATTTCTCGTACCAGATGACTGGTGGGAGGAAGGTGAAGGGCCAAGTGGAGATGTGACCTCATTTTACAGCAGGGGCTGATGCACTGGGCATGATTTCTGGAACCAGACAGACATGGACTGAAACTCTGGCTCTGTAGCCACTCATAGCTGGGTAATCTCAGAGAAGATTCATCTTCTCTCTGGACCTGAGTAGCCTAATTTCTGCAGCAGGTGCAAGGGTCTGCTTCTAGGGCCAGGTGTGGTTGTACATACCTGCAATCCCAGCACTTGGGAGGCACAGGCAGGAGGATCAAGGATTCAAGGTCACCTTTGCTTATCTAGTGAATCTGAGCCTGCCTGGGGCGTATGTGACCCTGTCACAAACAACAGAAAACCACTCTTCCTTGTGGATCCACAAAATGTCACAAATATGCCCAGAGCTGACACATGGACTGGATGCCAAGAACACTTCCCAGTGGTGGTTCCCTTCTCTCCTCCTCCTCCTCCTCCTTTCCTGTCCTCTCCTGCTCCCTGCCCTACCCCGCTGCCCTGCTGTGGCTCTCTTGCCTAGATGCTGAGAGAAGTTTTCGGAACCTGGGTGGGACTCTGCCCTTGCACCCCTCTCCTGAGTGCCAGGGCTGCTAAGGAAGGGTGTGGGCATAAATTACGCCCATCTGTTCGATCCCTGCTGGGGGAGAAGAGAAGGTGAACACACAGGCCTTAGTGGATGTTCTATTTTTCTTTGGAACTCCGTAGGAACAATGGAAAGGAAGAATGTGATCTCCATACGAAGTCCACCCCACCCTGCCTCCTGTAGCCTGCCCCCTTCCAGGGATGGCAGATATCGAGAGCTCTGTGGGCCCTGCCTGTTGGGGAACAGAGGGCACATCTCATACCAGCCCAGGAGGAACTCGTGAAGCTCACGGGCATTTCCAGGTTCATTGTTATTCATTAGTTACATAATTCATTCATTTCTTCATTCCACACATGTGCCCCGAGAACCAGTGTGTGTGTGTGTGTGTGTGTGTGTGTGTGATTTGACATGAGTTTGCTTCTTGCTTCCTCTTTCAGTGGTAGAGATAACATGGAAATCAGTCCTATTTAGATGCCGTGGTGCGATGTTTGTGCTGGGCTGTGTGAAGATGGGGAGGAAAGGCTTCTCAAGGTCACGCTTTGATCACAGTGAGGGCATCCTCATTGCGGTCAAAGGGAAAGTACCTACAACACAAGGAATACATGGAGTGTTTGTTTGGGTGGAGTGTGTGCCCACACTGCAGTGCATTGTGGGAGTGGTGAATAGCTCTTTTCCTGTGTCCCTGGATTCTGCCTCTCCACCGGGCCCTCCCCATCGTGATGAACTTTGCTCAGATCTGTGACCTTAGAGCCAGTCCTCCCTGTCCCTGTCCCTGGCTCCCACCCCATCAGTGTTCTTTCCAACCAAATTTCTCCAGTGTCTTTTCTTCCCGTGCACAGATTCCGTTTGCTTTCCTCCCACTCTCTCTCCCATCTACTTCTACTCTCACTGCTTCCCAACGATATCACGACCTCTACATGCCCAACTTAGTAGGCATTTCCTAGTTGTTAGATCTGACACCTCAGTGTCATTGGTCATGGTGGGTGAGTCTATCCTGCCAGCCACGTGATTTCCATGCTTGAAAACCCCGTAGTCATGACTACTGTTTCTGAGTCCTCCCCCTTCCCCTTTTTTTAACCTTAGTTTCTAGATCTTGGTACACTGGGATTCCTTCAGGGTGGGGTGTAGGCCATTCAGTAGGTTTTTGTTTTCTGCACTCTCTCTAGGTTGTGTAATCCACCCCCATCGTTCTATTACCCTCTCTGTGCTGATGGTTCCAAAATCTAAGTCTGTTTGAGGGATCTAGAGGAAAGGGCCTACCTAACATCTCCACTTGGCTACTTCCCTAATGTCCCAAACTCAACTACTGAATCTCTCTTCAATACTAGTACCTTCTAAAGAGTGGTACCATGTCACAACAATAGACCAGCTCGGATGCATGGCTCCATCCTTCATCCTGTCCTCATCACTTCTTCCCTTAGCATCTCAGCACTAGAAGTCCTGTATCTTGGGAAACTCCTCATCCTGGGCATGTTGGATTGCTTAGTCATCCACTAAAATCCAAAGATGGAACCAGGGACCTTTCCCATGATCTTCAGGGTCTCATGTGATCTTCTTCCTGCCTCATTTTGTCCTCCTGTTCGCTGACCAGCCTTTCACTGCCGATAACATTTGGGCAGTCTGTGGCCCCCCCATGTCTGGATTCTTCCTCTCCTTTTTTGCAACTTCTCCTCCTCCTTCAGATAACAGATCATATAGCCCATCCTTTGCTCAGGAGAGTCCACTCCTGAAATCTCCATGAGTAGGTTACTGTGTCTCTACCCTATAATCTCTTAGGACTTTTCATTGTCTCTTTCACAGTAGTGGTGATATGAATGGTCTGTCAACAGGAATGTGACTTCTGCTTCTAAACCTCTTGGAATCCCTGTCCTGGCCCAGAATGTGAGTTGTGATCCCTGTGCAATGGGTAAGCTTCTTAGTGCTCTGGACCTGCCGACAATGCCCTGCCTGTGAGGCTTTGGCTGAGGGGACAATGTAGGTGCGTACCCTAGAGAGGATGGTGGGGTGGATCTATTGGGGAAAACTGGTTAAGAGGTGCTGTTGAGGTTTTTATGTTATTTGTTTTTGAGGCAGGATTCTATGTAGCCCAGGCTGGCTGAAAACTCAATGAGCAGCCAAGGCTTGCCTTGGACTGATCCTCTTGTGTTTGCATCCTGAGTGCTGGGTCTACAGCTGTCTACTAGCATGCCCTGCTCCCCTGAAGCATGTCAATGGAGAGAAGATGAGAATGAGGACAGGGGAGTGGGTGTTTTTTGTTTCCTCAGGATGATACTCTATCCTTAGGAGGCAAACTCCTGGCTTGGACATCACACAGGAGTGGTGATGGGGCCTGAAGAGGTGAGGAAGTCTCCCAGGTTTTACCTTGGGGAGAGGGGAACTTGGGAATCTGGCTAAGGAGACACATAGTGAGCCACAGTCAATCTGACAACTGTGGTGGATGCTTGGAATCATTGTGAGTGCGGCCATTTCTTAGACTCTCCTTGGATCCATTTTATTTCAAGTAGGACTCAAGATGAATCAAGGAGAGAGAGAGACAGAGACAGAGACAGAGACACACACAAAGAGATCATTGCATATTTGTCTAGAGTTCTGTAGCTCAGATAAGCTAGGAGTGAAAGTGTCAGGGTTCTATTATAAGCACTGAATCACCAGCTCTGTGACATTAGGCTAGCCCCTGGCCCTCTCTGGACTCTCCAATCCAACAGTGGGAAGAAATTATTGTGTGGTTCTTAGCTAGATATTAGATTTGTCTAGGGAGCTTTAAACAGATAAACACTCAGGCTCCACCCTTGGAGGTTCCGAGTTGATTGGACTGAGTATTGTGGAATCCAGACACTGGTACCGCCTTTAAAGCTCATCAGGTAATTCTTACACATAGCTAGCCAGAGTGAGAACTGCTCCAGGAGATGGTTTTGGACATCTCTACTTGGACAGTCCAACCCAAGAGCGGCCTTGCTGAGGCCCCAAGGGCCTTCCATCCCCATGCCCTAACTCACCTGTGTGCGCCTCATGGTCCTGGCCTTGCACTGGGCTCTGAAACAGGGGTAGGGCAGTTCTCAGCTGAGGCTGGAGGCAGCAAAGTAGTGTGTCTAGAGGGGGAGGGGGGGGACTCCTCGTGCAGGAACAGATTGAAGCTATTAACATTTGATCAGTTTGGTATTGTTCTTCTGGAGACCACAGCTCATGAGGCTGCTTAATAAATGTCTGGTCAAGGTCCAATCCAGAGCCGCCAAGTGGGTGTTGCTATGGTTTCTGAGGAGGTTGTTTCCCACACATTTACTGCTTCCCACCCAAGCTGTGAAAACCTGGAGACTTCTTAACTCTGTCCCTTCCCAGATGAGCCAGTGGCAAGAGCACTTCTTCCACACTCTGGCCAAGGGGAGCTTCTATGGGAAGCTAGGACTGCTTCTGAGAGAAGGTCCCAGACTTCCCCACTCTGCCAAATTCCGGGTGACCCCATTGCTCAGCTGGTGTTACTCCAGTGCCCAAGGGTTTCAGGTCCCTCTGTGCAGCTTTGTTACCCTTGAAGGAAGGAGAGATGGTGGCCAGAGGCTGGGCTGCCAGGCAGGGTGTATGTGTTTGTTTAAATGTGTGCCTGTAAGGGAGTGTTCGGGTTTGGGAGAGGGTATATCTAAGCTGTTTACTTGCCAGAGATTGAATGTGCCTTTGGTTGCGCATGTGTGTGTGTGTGTGTGTGTGTGTGTGTGTGTGTGTGTGTGTGTGTGTGTAATGCAAGAGTGTGGATGGGAAGAAATGGGAGTACCAGGAAATGTTACTATATCTTAAAAAAGAATATATTATGAAAAATGAACACTTATAAAACCCAGCATAAAAACATCATATGACTACAACCAGCTTATGAGATGGAAACTTGGCCGAATGTAATTGAAAGTTTCTGTACATTGTCTTGATGGCTTCTCTGCTCTCCCTCAGAGCTGTCCCTGCTGGGAAGTTAGTATTTGTCATTCATAGATGATGCTCACACCCTGTTTGGTTCATAGATAGGCACCTTTCAGCTTTGGATCCATGAAACACATTTCTATAAATACACATTAAGCTTGCGTGAGTGTGGGTGTACACACAACCCCATTCACACGCGTGTTAGGTGATTGTGAGAGGGATGGGAAGGTTTGAGAATCCCTGTGAATTGAGAGCTCACTGAAAATGAGGTGGCGTCTTCTGGTTGTGTCTCCAATGGTAACTTCCTACCCTTTCTGTGAAATGGGATGTGGGTGGAAGGATCGAAGATGGGCAAAAGCAAGGGCACATAGTTGGAACTCAATCATCTTCAGATTTCATAAATTTAACTATTAAAGAGGAGGCAAGAAGCCCAGCCAAAGGTAAGGCAGGAAACCCAGGAACGCAGATGCAGTTTAATCAGAAGAGGTGGAGGTGGGCCACCTTAGCTGGCCTCTCCCTCCCTCTCTTCCTCCCTCCCTCCCTCCCTCCCTCCCTCCCTTCCTTCCTTCCTCTCTCTCTCTCCCTCCCTCCCTCCCTCCCTCCCTCCCTCCCTCCCTCCCTCCCTCTCTCCCACCACCCCTCCCTTCCTTCCTTCCTCTCTCTCTCTCCCTCCCTCCCTTCTCTGTCTTTTTATTCCTCTAATGTTTTCTTCTGTTGAAACCTTTCCATGTCTAGGCAGGGACAAACTTGAATAGGGGAAGCTGGGGCCCAAAAAAGAATGATTGGAGGCCCCTGCCTGCTTATCGATAAATAGAACCACTTGGGGAGTAATATCATCTGAGATGTAGTAGATTTTTTTTAATAAAAAATTATCCAAGTAAATGTGTGTCCCTAACAAATTCTGGCTTTCACAAGGCCCGGGTTAAAGTAAAGCTTGCTTAACAATCCAAGGCTTGATTCTGAAGTCTGTGAGCACAGAAAGGTCTACGTTCTCTCATCTATTTGTCTGACTCCCCAGCTTCATCCTGAAGTTTACAAAGGTGGGAAAAACCCCTCTGGGAGGAGAGGAAACACAAACAGTTAAGGAGGGCACACTGGCTGGCATCTCTGCAGAAAGGCAGCATGGACGGAAATGTGCTGTTAACACTTATTTCGATTCTGCAGTTTCTCAGGAGCCACAGAACAGGTGAGTCATTGTGAGGGACTCATAAGACAGAGGCATAAGGTGCCAACTAGATAGCACACAGACAGGAGAAACGTGAATGAAAAACACACGGGGTGGGGGAAGGGACATTTCTCTTTATTTCACTGATTTTGTACCAGGTACTGTAGCAGGCAAGGGGAGGGCATTTGGCCTAAGTTAATCATCACAGTGTCTATTAGTCAACTTCATTATCCCCATTTCCCTGGCAAATAAACTAAGTCTTGGAGAGTTTGTGGAATTTGCTGAGAATCAAACCCAGGTTTTTCTGACTCCCTGCTGCTTTCCGAAAAAGAATTTTGTGGCAAGAATGCTAATGCGCCCAGTTCAGGGTAGTTTCCCATGAATAAGAAAGCAAGAATTTGATATTGAAGGGAATATTGAGAAAATCAAATACTAGATAAAATACTCCGGTTAGCATTCGTCTGAGAAAACTCCCGAAAGAAAATTGTATGATTGGCTTTGAAGGAGCCATCCTTCCGTGCCAGGAACCCAGCTTTGTCCTCCTTAGAGGCAGGTATTCAAACCATATATTCCTGGTATAATGCTGAAGAAAGATTCTTGAGACAAAAGCAAGCGAGAAATGCTCTCATATGTCATGGCAGAAGAGCTGAAACCCAAGCTTTAGATCCCCTCTAAACAGCTCTGAGCCTTTTGATCTGCTAAAATAACGGAGAGACTTACACAGTCCAAGTTGGGAGAGCAGTTACCATGAGTGCTAAGGCTACAGCAGAGTTTAAGACTACATTTTAGGTTTGTTTTTTAAATTAATTTTTTTCTTGAGCCCCGAATGATTGCCCCTGTTTCCTTGGGTGGGTTTAGATCTGAGTTCCATTTTTATAAAAGTTCAACTGAATTGCTATTTCCTGTGGCCTAAAAATGTCTTCAATTAAAGGCGAAGAAAAAAATGTATTTTTTTTAAAAAAAAATCCTCATCAAACTAAAAAATGGCTGAAGGGATTTTATTCAAACTTTTCCCCAAAATTCACCTTTTGCCAAGACCCAGCATGGAAAATTTCAGCCCCAAAGGATCACTCGCTGGCAAGTTACCCGAGCTAATGAAAACAGAGAGGCATAAAGGGAGTCTGTGTGTAGCTCCAGCGATAGTAGCCACTGGAGCCCACATTGTATGAGAAGAAGGGCCTCATTCAATAGCCCCCCCTTTCATGTCTTTTTTATCATCAATATGGATGAGCCTTGGATTTGGAGTGGTCACAGACAAAACGCACTCACTTTATGAATATAATGTGGGCAGTGACATGATTTCGGTGTCTTTCTACAGCCACCACTGACTTTGGAATGAACTTATTGTACATGAGAAGATAGGACTGATTTCAAGGAGAGTTGATCCACATACCCATTCATCCATTCGTGCATTTATTCACACTCGTTCATTCACTCGCTCATTCATTCACTCGCTCATTCATTTGCTCATTGATGTCATAAGGGTTTATTGAGTGTCACAATGTGTGTGGCAGTTTAATCCAAGTGGGGAATACCATGGTAGGCAAATAGAGGCGGTTCCTGCAATCGTGAGTTTGTGGGGGAGAAGGAAGTAAAAAGCAACCATGGCCAATTCTGTGGGGCCACAGATGAGGTGCTGAGAGAGAGAAATCTACGGTGGGGCCTATCCTGATTGATAAGGAGGGTAACGGGGCTCATGCATTATATTCATTCATTATCCAGCAAATATTTAGTGAGCCGCCACGCTTTCCATACTGGCCAGGCCAGTCACCATTTCTGCCTTTAGAAGTTTTCTGGCTAGAGGAATAGCAGGCAAATAAGCCTGATTGATACGATCGTCATTAGCCACATGCAGTGCAAGCAGAGAAGATGCTGACTGGCCAGGGTGTCTTCTTTGAGGGGTTACCTGTCCGACAGACGTTTGTGTCGGTGACGTGGGGTAAACAGAGCAGAGGGTGGACCAGGACTGCCTTTGGGGCACTTGTGGCCCAGCTGTGTTTTCCAGCTCATCTCTCTGAGAGCCGAGGGCCTGAGAGACGGAGCCTCCTCCTCTTCAGGAACAAGCCTGGCTGGGACCAAGTGGTGGGTGCTTCTCTAACATCTCACCTCTTGGAATTTAGACTAGTAGTTAAGAACCTGGCCTCTGGAAGTAAGCTGTCTTGGTTCAAATACTGCTCAGACGTCCTTATTGTGGCACCTTGGTCAAGTGACTGTAGTTTCTCTACATTCATGGCAGGGACAATGACACCTCCCTCCCAAGGACACAGCCATGTGACCATCGTCAGTCACCAAAGCTTTGACCAGCACATGAAGTTCTGATACATCTTGACTGTTGTACCTCCCTTCCCACAATCCCTCTATCCATTCAGTCTAAGAACCATGGGTCAAGAACAGTAATCGTCAGCCAGTGTGCGGGGAGCTGCAGAGTCAGCCAAACCACATGTATTCTTGGAGTCTCCCTCCTCAGAGGTGGTTAAATTTTTAGACTTTTTAAAGCAAGATTTCTTTGCCTCTTCCACCCAGATAAATAGCTATTTGTCATCTTTGTAATACCAAAAGCGGGGGTGGGGGTGGGGGTGGGGGGGTGGGGTAGGGGCTGGGGGAGTATCCATTCCTTTTTCATCAGCACATCTGGCTTTTTAGGTGAGAAACTCTGCCAGAACTTTTGGAATATCTTGTTACTTTAGACAACGGAAGACAGGGAGACTTCTCATTTTTAATTGGAAGTAAAAACTTGTTTATGGCTCTGAGCGAGGGCAGAGCCGAGATTCCACAGGTCAGCGGAGAGCTCACCATTGCTGGATTGGATTGGATGTGGGGAGGAGGGATAACAGAGGGGAGCTGGCTTCCAAAATGAGAAATCACCATGGCACTGTCGATGCAATTGAGTGGAGGTGGTGCAGAAAGTCCTACTGGCACACGGATTCACTTCCCCAGCCTCAGTTTCCCTTTGTGTAAAATAAGACATCTGTACCTCTTGGACAGGGCACTTAGGTTTACAAGAGGGCATGAACGTGGGGATGTCAGTGCAGACAGGCAAATATGGTTCACAATGAGGCTTGTGTGCTATGAAACATGTGCACATCAGGGCAGGAGGAATGCGTCCTCTTTTTCAGTTTTCTGGGTCCCTGCATAGGTGGGGGGCAGCAGTGAAGGGCTGCAGGAAACCAGCTTGGAGGGGCGGGGGCATCTGCCGGAGGGCCAGACCAGTTCCTGGGAAATCTACATTATCTCAGACCACTTGGTATTGGGGTGGGGGTGTGATGATTATGGATCTTTTCCACTTTCTTTGATGAAGTTGGCCCTGACAAATGACGCTTCATTGTGTCTAGCTCCACCACATGTTTGCAAATCTTCCCAACACGCAGCTGGAATATGGAATCCTAACAGGAGGTAGAGAAGGGACTTGATTTGAGAACCTGTGCAGGCACTCTGTGGTGTGACTGAATCCAGGGAGCCTGGCTGGAGGCAGACAGCTTTTGGAGAGGCAGCTTGTTGTCACCTTCCGCTGCAACAAAGGCTGTCTTAACAATCCCCTGGGGACATCAGGCTTCTTGGCCACCTTCTCTGGGGCCATCCTGTTCTGCCTTCCCATCTCCTGGGAGGCAGCACACAGAACCTAAGACCACTGAGGATGGGGAGGGGAGGGCCCTGAGAGGTGCCTCTGGAAGGCCTGGGTCTCCAGGTCAAGGCCAAGGGCAAGATCAGCAGTGCAGGCGGTCAGTCCTGGGCTGGCTGGCGCAGCCACAGCTAGGATGCTGTGCGCGGAGCGCTGCTGGCGGCGTCGGGAACTGACCAGGCCGTGTGTGAGCGCCGGGATTCCTGCTCCGGCCTTAAATATGCCGGTTATTTTTATCTCCCTACGTCAGGCTAGCGAAGGCCATCCCACCAGTGGCCGCAGCGGGCTGCTACACAATGTTTCCCTTCAGTCGGGAGGGGAAATGGAGGGAGGCCAGACTTCCTGATCACATGATGCTGAAGTCAATGAAAAAAAATGAAGGGGGACCCCTCCCTAGCGCTGGGGTGCGCGGGCCAGGGCCCCCCACCCACCCCCTCGGGCCGCGCAGCCGGGGAAGCGCAGGCTCGCGGGCGGGCGCGGGGCCAGGCGCAGGACGGGGCAAACATAAACACCAGATCGGTGCAGTAATTGGCGGCTCCGAGATCGCTGAGGAAATGAGAGGCTTGTACGAAACATCAGCCGACAAGAAACGGGGTGATGTCAGACAGCCTTCCAGGATTAGAAACCCTTAAAAGCTCCGAGCCCGCGGCGGCTGCGGAAAAGCGCGCTCCGCTCTCCGGGTAGGAAGCCCGCGGACAGCGTACTCAGGGCTCCTCTCTCTTGACTCCTCTCTTTCTCTCTGTCTCCCGCTCCAGTCTCTTCTCCCTGAATTCCCTTTTTGTTTTTAAATTAAAAAGAAAGGGAAAGACGTCAGTTTCCACGTCTAAAGCATCTTGCTCCCCGCCCCACCTTGTGTATCCTGTTACTTCTGGGTCAACAAATCCTGCTCAAGTCAACGAGTGTAAGAGGGAAAAAGAAAAGTCTGTCGTTTGAATTCCTTCAGTTTCTTCTAACATTTGCTTCTTGCCCCCCATCCCCCACGCCCGGATGAGTTGCTTAGAACTGCAGGTTGCCATACTCAGCACACAGAAGTCTCTAGCTGCCTCTCTGCTCTCCAGTCCAGAGGGGCAGCGTAGCTAACAACCAGTGACAGGCAGGGTATCCTCCCCTGTGTCTTTAAGGTAGAGGCTGAACATCATTTATTCATTGACTGTATGCACAAAAAAAAAAAAAAAAAAAAAAAGCACCTCTTTTCCAGGCTTTTCTCTCTCAGCGTTTGTCTGGATTAAAGGGGGTGGGGGGTGATGTTTGGGAAGGGCTTGAGCCCCTGGCTAGGAGAGGCACCCAAGGTACCTTTCAAGGAATGATTTATGTTCAGTTATTTATTTATTTTTTTCAGATAGGAGACCAAAGAGTTCATTCTTGTCTTTGCAACAGGTGAGCTCCACACCTGGTTCCTAGCTTTGGGACATTTCAGAAGCCCCAGACTTTGCCTTATTAATGTGTCTGTCACCTCTTTACCTCTAAGGCAAGTTTGTTCTCCTTTCTTTCAGGGACCCAGGAAAAGGTCACAGCCAGGCCAGGTTTGTACAACCTTAAAAGAACGGGGCTAATTCCAAAGGCACAGGTTCAGCTCATGGCTGCTTGTTTTGAGAGACACATCGCCAGTGTGAACCCCTTCCCTGCACACTGTTGAATCTTGTGATTGTCCCCTCCCATAGTTGACACTCAGTCACTTGAGACAAGTATATCTTCGGTTATACCACCCACCAGGTGGTAGATAACAGCTGTTTTCTAGCTCTCCTGGACATGTGTGTTGTCTTTGATATGACTGTGTGCTCTGAAAATCCTCCAAGGAAGCCTTGCCTGTGCCCACTTAAGCCCTAGCTTAGATGTTGGTGTCTCCTTTTCTTCACCCTAGAATCTCGGGGTCCCCATTGTCTGTACATTGCCCTGTGGCTTGTGGAGGGCTGGGAAGGGGACAAAGACAGGTTCTGTGTTGATCTGTGGCATGAGGAAACAGTACATCTTTCTCAAGCAGACTGTCCTCTGATGGTGTTGATCCCCAGCTCCCAGAGGCTGAGTCCCTGTCTCCGCCTGCCTCCTTACTTAGCTTTATGCCCTCCCACAGGCAAGCTCCTTTTCCCCCTCCGAGTCTCAGCTTCCTCATCTGTGAAATGGGGCCAAGACAGAGCATGCTCAAAAGCTGTTGTGAGCATCAGATAGGACAAGATGTGTGAAGCATTTAGAAAGCCCAGATCCTGTCACTAACCTTGCAGTGGAGCTGTTCGTTGTGATGGTCCGCACTAGCACTTTGCACACTTGGCCTTATAGGCAAATAATCTGGAAAGAGTCTCCTGTCCCCCATGCCTTTGTTCTTCTCCCCTCTCTCCCCATCTCTTCCTTGCCTGTCCCCTCTCTTCCCCCTTCCCATCGTGTGGATGAGGAAGCTTGAGGTCAGAGAGGTTAGATGGTTGCACAAGATCACACAGCTAAGTAGGGGAAAATACCTCATTTGTTATCACATTAGAAGGGCCAGCAGAGGCCGGGTGGTGGTGGCACGAGCCTTTAATCCCAGCACTCTGACACCATTGGGGGAGGGGGACAGGTGCCTGGTGCCCTGAGACCAATCCGGGGAGATTGAATGCTGTGTGGTCTGCACTCACAGCCTGGCTCATGACAAATTCATGACAGTTTTGATCTTGGCAGCAATAACATTTCTTGGGCAGCTGTCTCCCATGCTGTTATTATTTCTAGATCACCCACCACTGAAAATCCGATTGCTGTTACTTTCTGTCCACACAGGAGCACCCTGGGAAGGCCGTTCGCTTCCTCTGATACTCTAGCTCCAGGCTCAGTGGGCCTAAGGAGTGGCAGGACACTTTGGGTCTCCATGCATTCATTTGCAAAATGGGATAAAGGAAGAGTCTTTCCTGTTTCCTTCTCTGGGATGGAATACATCAGAGGGGTCTAGGAGTATAAATGGGGGTGTGTGTGTGTTATGCTATCATAACCACATAGAATTCATTATCATGACCATTACTGGCCTTGGGCAGGCTATACACAGCTAACTCCAGGGGCCATCAGAGGAAGTGGGCCAGGGTGGTAGAGGCATTGAGAAGAACTGTATCTGAATATTTGCTGAGTAGCCTCTGTGCCTCGCTTGCCCTTTTCTGCATCGTCTCATATCAACAAAACCATGATCCTATGAAGGAGGTGTTTGTGCCTCAAATGGTGGCCTCCAGCAAAAGTCCTAACCCCTAAACTGGAGAACATGGCCTCATTTGTAAAAAGGTCTTTGTAGATGACATTAAAGTAAGGATCATTAAAATGTCGGTTTATTTTGTTTTTTAATTAAGTATTGATGTGTGTCTGTGTATGAGTATGTGAACAGGAGTACGGGGCCCATGGAGGACAGAGGAGGATGTCAGATGCCCTGGAGCAGAAGTTACAGACAACTGTGAGCCGCCTAAGGTGGGGACTGGAGCTGGAACTTGGGTCCTCTGTCAGGGCAGTATGCACTGCTGCCAAGCCATCCTTCTAGCTCCAAAGTAAGGATTTTGAGATGAAATTACCCTAAGTTGTCCAGTGGATCTGAACCCCAATGGTGTGTGCTCTTACAGAACTCACAGAGACACAAACAGAAAGGGAGGGTGAGGTAGAGGCGGAGATGGCGGTGGGAGTGAACACTTGGAATCCCAGAGGCCAGAAAGGGCAAGGCAAGGTCTTTTCTGTATGTATCTTGTCTGACTTGTGGTCTCTCTCTCTCTCTCTCTCTCTCTCTCTCTCTCTCTCTCTCTCTCTCTCTCCTCCCTTCCCCTCACCCTCACCTCCCCTCCCCTCCATCCCTCATCCCTCCTTCTCTCCTCCCTCTTTGTGATAAGGTCTCTGTAGCCTAGGCTGGCCTCAACTCTTTATGTAGCCTAGGATGACAGTGAAACCCTGGTTCTCCCATGTCCGCTCCCTAAGTGCTGAGGTCACAGCATGCTCTACTGTACTCAGCCTGGTTTCACTTAAAATTACCATTCTGTTTTGTGCTTCCAGTGAATAAAGCGAGATCACCAGTATTTCTTACAAAATAGGCTTTGTGTTAGGCGGTTTTTATTTTTATTTTTTTATTTTTTAATAACCTTGGCTAATGTAAGGTTCTGAGCAGATAAAACACCAACCAGGTAAACTAGGATCTCTCCTAGGTTAGGTTCTTTAGACAGGTATATTAAATACAGTTTAGGCTTTCAATTTTTAGTGGATTTATTAGCACGTGGCTTTTCATATTTCAGAATATGTAAATGTATATCTGCATACACTTCAGGGAGTGTGTGGGTTTACTGATACTTTGTGATAGAACTTTGTGTCACCAGAGCTGTGGATGAATACACCTTTGTTTTATTTTTCTATGACAGGGTCTAGCTATAACAGCTATGGCTAACCTAGAACTCACTATGTAGACCAGGCTGGCCTTGAATTTATGGTGAGCCTCCTGTCTCTGCCTTCCAAGTGCTGGAATTATAGAGATGTATTCCCGGGTTCTGGGCCAAGTTTAAGCCATGACATCTGTTCTCATTGGTTGTGGCCATGCTAGTAATAGACAGGTTAGCCTTACCTCCACTTTCCAAGTGAGCAGCTGCATTGGAGAGCCCACACAGCTCACAAGGAACTGCGGATGAAGTTCAGGCCCATCTGGCTCCCTAGTGATCACTCAGACCCAGAGGGCCAGGGAGAAGTGGGAGGAGTTGAGGAAATGGCCAGAGGTTCCCCGTGGTGAGGAAACCAGACTTGGCATGGGAAGGCAGAGGGCATGCAGACAGAGGTGCAGTTTCTGTGGAGAGAATTCCTTTCGGAGGAGCTCCTCTTTCTATTAATCCCACAAAAGCAGTGATGTGGGGCTTAAAGAGATTTTGGTGTCATCCACCACGGGGTCTCCTTTGACTCTGCCAGCCACGTTGTACCAGTATGAAAAGCATGGATCTCCCTTTTTTTCCCCTTTACCCTCTTCTCCCTTCACTTCCCTGTTCCTCTTCCAGTCTCTCTGCCCCCCACGCCCGCTTTTGTTGACACAGGGCAACCTGGGAGGGGCCTCCATCAGGAAGGAAATCAATAGGAAATGCCTGTCGAAAATGAGATCTTTTAGAAAGCATGTCCTGTCATCATTCTGGATGCTAAGGTGGGGGCCTGCCATGGAAACAGGAAAGGGGAAAACAGAGGCAGCCAATGAGAGGGAAAGGGGAGGCCTCCTCCTTCCCACGCCAGCTGTGGCACCAGCACTGGCAGCTGTGGAGGCAGGAGGCCTAGAAGAGCTATGGAACAGTCTTGGGTGGGTTATGAAAATCTTCTTTACACGTCTGAAGGGCTGTCACGAGCAGCAGGAGCTGCTGTGTCCTCAGAGCCCATCACAAGGAGCTAAAACCATGGGTCAGGGACACACAGGGAACAATGGTACAGAATGGTTAAGGACCCCCAAACCAGGGTCGAACCAGCATCACCACTGACTGTTGTCTTGAACATACTGTTTATGTTCTTTGGGCCTCAGTTTCTTCACCTGTCAAGTGAGGGAAGCTGCTGGCAAAACTGAAGTCCACAGAGGTTGGATATGTACTCAGGGCACACAGACTGAAGTTCACAGAGGTTGGATATGTACTCAGGGTGCACAGCGAACTAGGAAAAGCTAAGTAGGAAAAATTGTATTCTAATTGCTGTGTTGACAAAGTAATCAAGTCAACTCAGGTGGGAGAGGCAAAGAAGGATTCTTCCACATAGAAAACAGGACATACACAGACATAGATGCATGCAAGCATATATGCACTCATGCATGCACTCAAGTATGATCTCAGCACTCTGGAGGCAGAAGCAGGAGGATTGGATTTAAGGTCAGCCTGGTTTAGGCAGAGAGAGCCTCTCTCAAAATCAAAACAGGTTGGAAGGAAAGGAGAGAGGAGACAGAGGCCTCTGGTTAGTTTTGGTAGTGAGCTTGTGTAACATCTACAAGGTCATGCATTTGATCAACACACACACACACTCAATCAATCAATCAATCAATCAAAAAACAAAACAAAACAAGCTAACCCTCCACAAAACAACAGCAACCAAACAGCATACCACTGTGCCACACTCCAAAAATCCAGATCCAGTGGGCTGAATTTGGGAAAGTACATTTATGACATGTTCCAGGTAACATTGATATCGTCATCTGGGAACATGTTTTGAGAGCCACTACTGTATGACAAGTGACTGGATGATTGAGCAGCTGAGCACAAGGTAAGGTAAAGTTTCCGGGGGGAAAAAGGAACTCAGTTTTGCTCCTCCTGAGGACCTGGAAGCAGTCCAGCCCTGGGACGCCAGGCTGGAAGATCTTTGGAAGTGCACCTGTCCAGTTTTCTCTCAAAGCAGCTGAGAAGAAGAATCCAGAAAATATTCTCAGTGTCACATTTGATGAGAGGTCATCTTCACACTTGGTTTTCCTTCTCTCCCTCCCTCCCTCCCTCATTCCCTCCCTCCCTCCCCCCTCCCCTCTCCCTTCCTCCTTTCCTCCCTCTTTTCCTTGAGTGTTTCTTGTATCCCCGGCTGGCCTTGAACTTCTGATCCTCCCCCTTCTGCCTCCTGAATTCTAGAATCTCAGGCATGTGCCACCATGTCTGGTTTATACGTTGCTTGGTTATTCTGTGGTGCCGAGGGTATGCACCAGTGGGGACTGAACCCAGGCTTTTGTGCCTGCTAGGCATGTTCTTCAGACCAGCACTGGGAAGGGTGACTCCCTTTCTGAGCATCCCAGGGATCCGAAGCTAAAACACAGAGACCAGGACAACCTCCCCCTGTGCACTGGCAGCATGTGGTTCCTGGGTCAGCAGTCATAGCAGCATCTCATTCCCTTTCTCAAGTGCTGCGGGAAAAACAATATTTAGGCTGTCAAACACCCAGCTACAGTCTCATTGGAAAAGCTGGCTTTGATTAGAAGGCTGCAAGGGCTGATTTATGATGACAGATAAAATAAATAAATAAATAAATAAATAAATGGCAAGCATGAATATGTAGAACTCACCCAAATGATGACTAAGGGGCACGAAGCATACAAAAGCCCTGCACGTGGAGACAGAAGTAACTTATCAAGCATTTGGTCTCATTGTGGGTTCAGGCTATCATCATTCCTGAAAACATGCCCGCAATACCCGAAGCCAGATGGATTTTAGACCAAGGGACATGTTTTGGGTTGAGATTACCACTTTTCTTAGGAGAGTTTTACCTCTGAAAAACAGGGTGCTCTTAAGGGAAGTTTCAGCTCTGTGTGTAATGTCTGCACTGCTTGCATTGAGCATGCATTGATGTATTGCTCGTGTAATAAAAAAAATGTTTGGAAACATAATCCAATCCTCTCTGTGGGCTCCTAGGAGGAGCCGGCTGATGGCCACAAGCCCCTGCCTTCCATACTTCCCCCTGGACTTCAGCAGTGAACCCCAGCCTCAGTCCCTTGTTGTTCTGGGTTCTCTCACTGATGGTACCTGCTCTGCAATGTGCTCTCCATCCTTCAGGAGTACTGTGAGACTGTGCGGGCCCTTTCCCTGGAACCCAAGCACAGCTGCCTCAAGAGCTCAGCTTATGTTCTAACTCTTCTTTCCCACGAGATCTTTCAGTTCTGCATGGCCCCGTTTCCACGGGCCTTCCTTTCTGCCCCTCATCCTTCCTCTCTCCAGCTGGGCTAGGGAGTGACAGGGATGTGGGGTGAGTCAGCTGGTACTCATGCCCACACAAGGTAATACCACAGGGCCTCTGTGCAGCAGCAGCAGCAGCAGCAGCAGCAGCAGCAGCAGCAGCAGCAGCAACCCCAGCAAGAGCTCACAAATCTCTCCTCTTTCCTGCTGAACCACACACAGCTGAGAAAGTTGTGGGCAGTTGTTGCTTCTAACCAGGTCCCAGCCTCTCATTCCTGGGAGGTCTGTCCCCGTGGTGCCCACATGTCCATGGTGGGCAAACAAGAGAGGTCTTCTGGGACATCCAGGGGATCATGTTTTTCCACTGCCCTTAGTCACCCAGCCAAGGAGTATGCCTGCCGCAAGCGTCTGGATTTTCCCTTTTGTAAGCTGAGAAGGTTGGTTTCCACACTTTCAGAGCTCGCTTCCAGCTTGACACCCAGCTCATCTATTTGTTGTGCTTGCCTCTTCTGTGTGGCCCAGGACCATCTTGTTTCCTTTCCATAAGTCTGCAGAGTAGGCATAGCAGCCTGTATTTCCCCCAGTTGGCAGCCCAGGAAACCAAAGCTTATAGATGGCAAGGGTGGCCCATGGTGATCCTGTTGGCACTGGGTCCTGGGCTTCACAGGGACACACAAGAATGAGCTTCTATGATAGTGTCTTAGTAAGAGTTTTTATTGTTGTGAAGAGAAACCATGACCACAGCAATTCTTAT